AATCTTTATGAAAATACATAGATAAKTCTTGAGTTTTAATAGACTCTTGCATTACCTGTAACTCCAAATAATGTGAAATTTCTCATATTAAACTACATTTTTAATTAATTAAGGGAAAAGTTACATTGATGGGGCTTTATAAATATGTATGATTTATTAAATATGCCTGCTGGTGGTTTGTAGACATTTCACAAGGTTCTTGAAATAGTTTCCAGGGAAATTTTGCATAATCTAGAATATTTTATGATTTATACACTGTACAAACACCAGAGAGGATATTTCTTGCAACTGTCAGTGCATTAAATTCTCCTGAAGAGCTCTTTTTGATGCTGGGCAGAGGTTCTCTCTAGAATCRTGTACAGCTACACACTGGCTTAATGAAGCCTTGGGTTCCAAGTGAAGATGGAAAATACTTGCTCATTCTGAAGGAATCAGATACCCACTCTTTGGAAACATTCACCAGATTTTCATTATCTTGTTTGCTTTCCCTTTCCTTCCTCCACACAGAGCAAGCAAAGCCCACTGTGTTTCTGCTACCAATATGGATAATTACTGAGTGCTGTAYTAATGAAAACATGTATTGCTAAATTAAAGTAGATTTTTTCTAGAGAAAGTTGAATATGATATAAATATTAATAGCTGGAATGTGTCTATTCATTTTTGTTTATTCTTTGAAAACCTGAACACAAGTAATTTTCTTGTATTTTTCATTTTCTATGGCTTTGCTTTTGTATCTCCGAATTACTGACTGAATGTATTTTTCTTTATAAACTCCAAAACTCACCAAAATCCAACAAATTCCCTTCTATGATGGAAAATTTTTGCTTCACTTCAAAATGCTTTGGAGATCCTCTTAGAAAGTCCTGAGATGTGAACTGAAGAATTGATAYTTGGACAGATTAAATAACATAACATGAATTAAAACCAGAAATTTAAACAAGAAGGCCATTATTATTACCCATGTCTTTTTTTACATTAAGAAACTTACTGAGATTATTGTACATTAAGCAACTTTTTAAATAAATCTGTGACCTTAAAACAATCTGTATATAATTCTATTGAGCTATCTAATGTCACATAAACATGAGTTTTGATTTTCAGTTTCCTACAAACACAGCTAACAAAAAATTAAACACAATCATTAGCTTTGGAAAATGYTGTCTTTAAAAGATGGTTCTTACATAACTTGATGGCTTCTGGGTTCAGAAATAAAACACTGTTCTATTCCTCTAATAATCTTMGTCTAAACTGTTCATATGTCTTCCAGCCACTTGAGCATTTCTATACTTCTCCTGATATTACCTTTCATGCTTGAAATTGACTTTCTGCAACTGGCAGTAGCTTCATAAATACATGTTCACCTGCCATTCTTCAAATCCCTAATTCCAGAGTAACCTCTTTTCCTGAAAATCAAAAAAAAAAAAAATCTCATTAGGAAGACATGGTCTGAACAGCAGCTACAGCCACCTCACTAATTTCCCCCTCACAAAGCTGATGTGTTTTCCTGCAGATGGGGTTTGGAAGGCTGCATTGCTGCTGATGGTGCTGTAGCTGTTCTGTTTTCAAACTTCACTTTCAGGWGTGAAGATTACCAAGCTATGTGCAAAAGAATTTAGTATTCCTATGGAAGCCTTAAGGGGGTGATGTAACTTGTGCTAAAGCTAATGGCAAATTCCCATTCTTTTCACCCTGAACTGGATTAGGGTGAATTTATTTTTTTATTTGTTTAAATGCTGTCCTTTACTCATTCCAGTTTTTTATCCAAATTGTGAATGTATCCCTCACTAAAATGCATTATTTATCATCTTTTTATCAAAGGATACAGCATGCCTCCACAGCCTTCTGCAGGGAGTTCAATGCTCACACTTCCCATGCTTCAAACAAACCAAATCTGAACAAACTCTTTTTTGATAATACTGTGCTCTGGGTAATTCCTGTGGGGTACATCATGCCAAAAAGGAAAAATATACAAGGAAATATATGGAAATAATGTCATAGGAATATGACAGGAAATAGTTTGTCTCCAAACAACTTGCAATACAGGCATCTGCAGAGGATTGTGGAAACATCTCTATCCAATTCATGGAAAGTTTATAGGTCCAGCTGGGAATTTTTCTTTCAAATTCTGCCCCTGACCAAGAAAATTAGGATAGTGCCTGTTTCACAAGTGGCATCCTTACTTCTAGTATCGCTAAAGCTACAAAAATATATCTACAGAATACAGGATGGTGTAAATGAGACAAACTATACAAATGCACAATGTTTCATACCAAGGGGAAAAATGTTTTCACTCATTACAGAATAAAATCACTGAAATTTTGGAAGGTTTGGACTTTCCTCACTTTTCACATACAAAGCAAAACTGCAATATTACAACATAAAATAGTAGCTCAGCCACTTTTCTGCAGAAGTCAGTGTTGTAAAGTCTCTTGAGCACAAGCAGAAATAAAGCCATTGAAGTATAGTTAATAATAATTTTTCCAGTGGTTATTTATGGACCTGATCAGTATTTCATTTAGTATAAACAGTAAGTACTCATTCTTGCAGTCCCRTGGGGCACAGTGGAATTGCTTACAGTAGAACAAATGAGAAAGTGCTGCTTCTGTGTGCAAGGTAATGGTTAACAAAATGAGAGTTTATTAAAAAACACCCAAACCTTAGGAAAGTTATTTCCAGATTATGGGATGACAGATTTATACTTAAGCAGATGAATGCTGTTCACKAAGAAAATAGAGCAGCATGCAATCTGTTTTGAAAAAAATATAAAGCCAGTCACTGAAAATGTGATGCATTCCAAACATAGAATGAACAGTATTAGGTGGATAACATAAAAAAAGACTTTGGAAGAAACTGGTTCTCTATTTTACCTCTTTTCAATTTACTGCTGCAATGTCAGGAAGGGGGATTCTCCTGCTTTCCCTAGCCTTCAGCCTAAGGTTTTGCTTCTCAGCAGTTYCTCTTCCACAAACATCTGACGCATTTTGAACCGTGACTTGCCTATGCCCACCTTGGGGCAGCTGTGACACGAGGGGCACGACAGCAGCGCATCCTAGGGGTGCTGCTTCGTGGTGCCAGACCTAGTGCAAMTAATGAGAAACTCCCCTAACTTAACTGTTCCTGCCAGAGAATGCTGTGAAGCAATTATGGCACTATGAGAACTCATAAAAGCAGCTTCCACRGGTTCTCTTTGCTGTCTCCATGTGAGAAAAGGATAAAACCTACAGTGAAAGTTTAAATCCTAAAGGGATAAAAATTTACATCAGTATTCCTTCAGTGTCTCAACTCTTCTCATGGTTGCCCCCACCCCCAATATCAAGGAGAGCAAATTTTCTTTCATGGTATTATCTAGAGGAAGTCTTTTATCAGCTGCTGGGRAAAATGGCAAGAAGTTCCTTTTTCTTGGACCTTGGTGCGTGCTAAGCCCAGCACCTCCTTCTGAGCASTAAGGGAAGCTCCTGTCCCTCCCAACTTTCACAGCACAGCCTGCTGCTTTTGCATCCAGGTTTTTGTGGGAAAGGCAAACTGCAAAATTTGGCTGTAGTCTGTAAGAGAAAGTGGCAGGTGGAAGAAAACCACCTGAGAACTGCTTCAGTAGGAGTTAATTTTCCATTCAGACGTGAGCCAGGCAACTTTAAAGACAAAGGTTTTTTTTTGTTTGATGGCAGCAACATCCTTCACACAGAAAGACGAAAGGAAAAAGCTGTTCTCAGCCGGGTGGCGRTACCTTTTGAGCAAGTTTGTTTGCCTCCTGACTCCACCTGCTGGGAAGACAYCCCACTACCTGCTGTCCGCTCTGGCATGTTTTTGTCAGGAGTGCTGAGGTGAATCACCGAACATTCGCTCCGTCTCCCACCCTCACTGTGGCTCTCTGGATCCTTAAATATTGGGCAGCTTGGAGCAGTCACAGCAGAGAAGTTCTGCCCTGCACTACTTCATGCACAACCACGCGACGCTCCTCGGCGAGGYTGGGGGTGTTGGCTCAGTTGCCCCTGGATGCCCGTGTAGCTGCGGTCTGCGTTTCTTAGGGGATCACAGGTGCCCAGAAGTGCTCGGAACCAGGTCTTCATCGGCCTCTTCTTAGTTAGTTAGTTCAAAACGCTTACATGACTTCCGGAGCACAAATGGGAATTTAGATAATTCTGCCGTCCGATGAATGCTGCGGCCACCCCCTGTTCATCCTCCTCAGCTTGGTGGACGGTAGGTAGATGGTTCATGCTAACTGAAGAGCATCGGAGGAGACGGGGCAGCATCCCCGGGGCGGGCAGAGGCCCCAGACACCCTCAATCCGCTGCGGGGGTAGCGCGCCTCCCACGCAGGTGCCGGAGCGCAGGGGTCCCACGCTCCACGCCCTGCATTCCCCCGGCTTTCCTTCCCGAAAGCTGCTCGCGATGGAACCGCAGCGCTGGCTCGGGTCTGAGGACCTTCCCCTCCAAGAGGAGGAGGAGGAGGAGGTGAGGTCCCCGGCCGGGCCCCTGACACCGCAGGGTCCGAGCTCCTGCGRGGCGACGCACCCTCGCTGCGGACAGAACGCGGCCGACGGCGCTCCGGGACCCCCCGGCTCGGCACGGAAGGGACCGCCGGGACAAAGGAGAGCCGGGCCGCGCTGCCGCCCCCGCCTCCTCCGCGGGGACGGGGGGCGTGGGGGCCGCGCCCCTGCCCCCGGCCGGCCGTGCCT